TTGCTATTGACAAAGGTCTTTAATGCTTTCTCTTGGTAGAAAGAGATGGCAGAAAGAGCACCACTACTATCTTGGGCAGAAGTGGCACAGGCTTCTACTCGCTAAGTTGTTGCAAGCTGTTCAGAAAAATAATATAAATTAATCTTTTGAATTTAGAAATCATTATTTCATATCAGTTGTTTAATTTCACAGGGATTTCAAGCGACAAAGATGCAAAACCAGGATTTTCTAAACCACAACTACCCAAAAAGAATCCAATGAAAAGGCTCCCATGAGAGAGCCACAAATTGGCAGTGACAACTTTATACTGCCTATATATAAAGAAGAACATATTTCTGTGAGCAATTAGCAATTACTGCTATACTACAGCTGGACACTGAAAAAAATATTCTAAAATGAAGCTTAAATTATAAGAGACAAGGGCCAGCCAAATAGCTCACTAGATTAAAACACCTACAAGCAGGTGCAGGGGCCAGGGGTTCAATCCCCAGGCCTGCCATGCCGGCCCCACCCCTGAGACAGCAGTTGAGACTGGATGTGGTGGCATGTGCCTGTAATCCCAGCACCTGGGAGGCTGTAAACAGGAGAAACACTATGAGACTGATCTAGTAGTGAGACCCAACACCCTGCAGGTTCTTCCCTAAAATACAGAAGAAAAAAAAAAAAAAAAAAAGAGGCAAATTGTAGAACATGATACTGAGAAAATATTAACAAAAACACCAATCAGAAGAGACAAATTATGTCTAAGATGTCAACAAATCAAAATTTTTACCAAAAAGATTAAATCCTGAAAAAAAAATAGCACGGAGAACAAGCTATATGCATTAAGTATAGTCAGATATTTCAAAATTTGCCTCTGGCTCTACAGAAGAAATAAGTAACAATGTAGAAGAGCTGAACAGGCCAGAAAACCTAAATGATACTAATTTTTTAAAACCCAATAAAGGGCAGAATATATACTCTTTTCAAGTAGACAAACAATATTTACCAAAACAAATCATATTGTGGCCCATAAAACAAAGATCAAAATATACTGAATCCACATGAAGAATATCCTTTGTGGACAGCAGAATGAAATTATAAATCAATAAAAGAAATACATTTGGAAAATATGAAAATATATAGATACTAAACAAAGTATTTCTAAAACCACATGTAAAGAAAATAATCAAAGGCTAATTTAAAATATTGTACTTTTAATTGAAAGTGAAAAAATAACATCCTTACATCTGATAGTATAAGGATACAGATTTATTATTATTATTATTATTATTGTTATTTACCTAAATTTAAAAACGAAGATCGAGGGCCAGCGAGATAGCTCAGCAGTCTAAAGTGCCTGCTTAGGAAAGCACAGAGACCACGGTTCGATCCCTGGCACCACATGTTGCACCAGTCCCACCCTGAGGGCGAGCTGAGTAGGCGTGGTGGACCACACCTGTAATCCCAGCACTGGGGAGCTGAAAGCAGGAGGATCACTACAAATTCAAGCTGCATAGTGAGATCCCGTAGCAACCAAATACATTTTTAAAAATAATAAAATAAATTTAAACCAAGATCTTGAACAATGACCCAAGTCTCCACTTGAAGATAAAAGAATAAATACAAATGGAAATCTAGCATGAGAAGTTAAATTAGTAGTAGAGAAGAAATTAGTTATGAAGAAATAAAAAATGAAAATCACTGTGAGCAAAAGCTGGTTTTTAAAGAAGTTTCAAAAAAGCTGACAAGCCTCTACCAAACTAATCAGGAAAAGGCAAAGATACAAAGAGCCAATATCTTAATGAAGATCAAAAATATCACCAAAATTTCTGCATATTTTAACAGCACAGTAAAGAAATATTGTAAGTGTGTGTGTGTGTGTGTGTGTGTGTGTGTGTGTGTAGGAAATATTATAGAAAACATACCAAGGTATTTGTATCACATTCATTTGTTTTAAAAAAAATCCAAATCCATGCTTAGAACAAAACTAGTAGTAGATAGACAATTTCAACATAATGAACAGTTTTGACAAGACCAGATATAGCTAAAAAGATACCAAACAGTAAAATACTAAATCATTTTGTCACACAGTCAAGCAAAAGAAAAAGCTATCTATTTTTTTAACATTTATTTATTTTTATTTATTTATTTATTTATTTATTTAGTGTGTGTGTGTGTGTGTGTGTGTGTGTGTGGCCAGCTCAGCCCACCAGGGGGCGGGGCGGGCTGGCAT